AGACCCAAAAGATTTGAGAACCCCTGGGCTGGAGGCAAGTCAGTACTATATAATTATAATTCTATACAATGGAAAAAAAACGCACCATTACTAACAAAAAAGACTAAACGAAAATGTTAACTTTACAGGTTATTTGATTTTCATTTTTATTTTTCCAGGTTTGGTGACGGTTACACCATCATCTTGCGGGTGGCGGGGCCGGACCCGGACCTTCGGCCGGTGATGGAGTTCATCGAGCGGGAGCTGCCCGGGAGCACGTTGAAGGAAAAGCACCGCAACATGCTGCAGTATCAGCTTCCCTCGTCTCTCACCTCCCTCGCCCGCATCTTCTCGCTGCTTTCCAAGAACAAGGAGAACCTCAGCATAGAGGACTACTCCGTCTCTCAGACCACTTTAGACCAAGTAAGCAAGAGCGCCAGGATTCTACTCAGAACTAAAGTGCTGAGGTTGTTTTAGGCCAGTTCTAAACTCTTTCCTTTTTGGTCGTTTTGCTCAGGTGTTTGTCAATTTCGCCAAGGACCAAAGCGACGAGGACCACTTGAAAGACGTCCACACGAGCAAACGAGACGCCGTTGTGGTGGACCTTTCCCAGCTGAACTCTTTCCTCATGGACAGCAAGACGAAGGAGAGCTGTGTCTGATTGCACAAGATCAGTGGGAGTTGCCACACCCACCACCAGATTTCAAAATACGGACCACTAACATGTGGGGGGAGAAACCAACTGTGTTAATTTTTTTTATTATTATTATCTATTTTTTTAGTATTTTTTTTAAATTGTTGTCATTCTCAGTGGACCTGCACCTCATCGCACAGCCCTCTTGCGAAGGCAACGACTGCGGGTATCATGACAGACACTGAAACAATGAAATCTCAATGCAAATCAATGCAAGAAATATAAATATATAAATATATTTAGGATTAGAAGTTAGTCGTGTGAGGGTTGGAGACTGGTGCTTCTCCTTCACGAGGTAGACTGGAAGAAAGAAGACGAAGTGACAGCAGGATTTGAATTCCACTGGAAGGTCTGGATACCCACTTATGGACAAGATGCACGGGTGGGGGGGGAGTAGAAGGAAATATCTTGAGTTTTTCATCCTCATTCCTTAAAGTAGAAAGCAGTAGTCCATTGGACTGTGTACACGCTACTGTGTAGAGTTTGTGATGTTGAATCATTCACTGCCAGCTGTTAAAAGATGGACTGACTAATGTTTTTATTTAGGGTCATAAGTCTTTCAATTTCTATTTGTTACCAAGTGCAGTTTTTTATAATATAAATGATGGTAAAAAAAAAAAAAAAACTCAACCATTGAAAATCCTGTTTCTGTCACAAATGTGCAATCATTGTTAATTTTTTTTTACTAATCTGAAGAAAATTTCCTTTTAGACATATTTGTTGTTTTCTTGTTTTGTATGATAGCTCAGCCAGCTAACCGAGTTGTTCTTTTGGTTGTTGTTGTTGTTGTTCTTTGTGTCCTTAACATTTGTTCAGCACAGTGCCTAATACTGGTGGAGAATCGAATCTGAGCACTCCATTAAAAAAAAACAACAACAATGTACGTAGGCTGCCAAGGAATGTATGAGACCAATACCAACATGCATCAAAGCACATATTTTATTATTCTAGCGTTTTATTTGTGAAGAAACTTGTTTTTGTCTTGTTCATTGTCAGACTCAAAACACAGAAAAGTATATATATATATAAAAACAGTGGTTTTTAGATGTTTGTTCAAGATGTTCGTTCTGCTTTTACTGGTTTTACTCATCCTTGCCCTCTTTGAATGCAGACTGATCAGAACGAACAAGCGTGGGTTTAAGATATCTTTAGAATTTAGATTTGTTGTTGGAAATATGGAAATGTACTGCATGCTTTACACTTGGCCGCACACGGTGGACTATCAGTGCTTCTGTGTGTGTGTACTGTATGTGTGTGAGCCAAAGCATGATATAGATCTATGTTTTGCAGAAGGAAGACTGAGCATTTTGCTGTATTACTCTTGGATTACTGGCACGTTGAGAGGCTAAAATCAAAATGATGTTTTGGCCATGGCCTTTACGAGGGCATACGGCTACCTGAACCAGGACCAGGATGAAATGTGTCAAGTAGTGTTTTAACGTTGATACCAGTGGAGTGAACTAACAGCGTATGTGCCAAACTCAGATTAACCAGCACCATCCTGAGCAGGCGAGTATTTTATAAAGGTCAACTTGTCCTTTCGATTCATCCATCAGCTCAGTTCAGAGACGGCTCATGCGCCGGAAGTGTGCACTCCCTAATTTTTCTTAAAAATCTCTGCGAGTTCACTATCCTGTGGAGACGTTGCAAAATTTTAATCTTGACTGTCAACTGCAGGTCAACTATTGAGTTCGAGACAATTCAATTGCTTGTTTAACCTGAACTTAACAAGCCAGACTGAACAAAAGGACCATGTAAATTTTAAATTTTGCTTGTAATACTTTATAGTAAAAAAAAAGAGGAAATAATCCAGGGTTTAAACTGATGACAGGTTGTCATTAGAGGTGCTCTCTCTCTCTCTTGCTCTCGTGCAAAATCTTTAAAGGGGTTTGCGTTATCTCTGGGATCTACTACCTTCCACCAACAGAGGATTTAGATTTTTGTCCTCGACAACCCCTTTTTGTTTTTCTTTGGTTTAAAGAATTTGAGCACTTTACAGGCTTAGCAGCCGTTAGTTTCCAGTGTTTATACATAGGGATTTGCAAATAAAAACAAGTTTGAAAGAAGAAAACAAACAAATCTCTGCACTGGACAAACAGACACGAGAAACAATCGAGCTTATGCCACTGCAGGGTGATATTTGTGAGAAACTTGAAGCAAAGAGCAAAACCTTATGTGAATAAGAGAAATGTGATTTGGAGCAGAGGGACATAAAGAGAGCGTTGCAGATCAGCGTTAAAGTGGTGATTTTTCTCTTCTTGGTCTCAGATTATATTGTTTGTTTACATTTTGAGTATTACAGCTGTTTGAGTCTGTTACCCATTGTGCATAGTTATTCTTTACGTTATTAAAAATTCAAATGTTTTGAAAAAAAGACGGACTGTTTTTTTTCCCCAGCTCTTAAAGGTGGACAACTGTGTTTTTGCAAGTACACTGTAAAAAATAAAATGTTGGATTTACTTTACCATGTTATGTTACCTGGTTCCACTTAACTGAGTTGAGTAAATTCAAAGCAATATACCAGTTTTTTAGCCAAAGAACATGAGTAAGTTGCTTTGAATTTACTCAACTCAGTTAAGTGGAACCAGGTAACATAACATGGTTAAGTAAATCCAACATTTCATTTTTAGAGTGTATGTGTGTGTTTGTGTGTCCAACCAAAATATTCCATGAACCATTAAACAAGTGTTAAAATTTTAGAAAGGAATCATTAAATGTGCTTCTACAACCAAGCACCTTTTGAAGTTGGCTGATTTCAAGATGGCCGCCACAGCTAATCAACTTCAACCAACACAGAAATGATATGGCTTAGTCTGTTTTACAGATATTGAGCCAATATTTGGTTTGGTAGTAGCTGAGAGTCATTCAAAACAAACTCTGAGCTAGAAATCCCATATCCACGTGACTGTCATGACGTGATTTTTAAGGTTTGATCATGACAACATCATCATCATCATAACAACATGCCTGCCTAGTTTCCCTTTACAAAAAATAAATACATGTAATATCTTAAAAGATTTCATTTAGATTTTTCCCACGGTGTCACAAAAATGCAGCATGTTTGAGGTGTGCCTTAAAAAAACATCCACAGGTGTGCCTTCTATTTACCTAAATGTTGTCAACTAAGCTTCCAAAGCTCTGACTTCAATGGCATCTTTACTGTATGTGACCCAGACACTGCAAAGAAGGACAGCCCTTTGATGGCTAAGATTTGCTTTGCCAGATGTGGTCCATGCATGGGCCAGCACCACATAAACCAACCCTCAACTGGGCCAGTTGTGGCATGCCATCTTAAAAACAGGGCTATCATTGCCAGATGTGGCCCACATCTGGTTGACAAACTACAGGAGTTCGACAATGAAAATGAAACACCTGGTTTTAGACCATAACATCCCTTTCAGACAGCTTCCTCTTGCGTCCACAGTTAATCCTGTTGGATGTGGTTGGTCCTTCTTGGTGTTATGCTGACATTACCCTGGATATTGTGGCTCTTGATACATCACAAAGACTTGCTGTCTTGGTCACAGATGCACCAGCAAGACGTGCACCAACAATTTGTGTTCTTTTGAACTCTGGTATGTCACCCATAATGTTGTGTGCATTGCAATATTTTGAGCAAAACTGTGGTCTTACCCTGCTAATTGAACCTTCACCCTCTGCTCTTACTGGTGCAATGTGCATTTAATGAAGATCAACCACCAGCCTGGTCCAATTTAACCATGAAACCTCCCACACTAAAATAACAGGTGTTTCATTTTCATTGTCTAACCCCTACTTGCCATGCCAGCAGAAATCCAGTTTGATATCAGATTGGCCCATACCTATCTGTTATGTGGGAAGCGTTTTTCATGACTTTCTTTATGAACCAGGAGAGAGGTACCAGGGAACATAAGTATTAGTACTGGGGAACATAAGATACCAGGGAACATACTGGGAAAAATAAGTACTGGGGAACCAATTGTAGGTATGAGGTAGCATAGCTACCAGAGAACACTGTTTCCCAGTACCTATGTTCTCTAGTACAGTGCCTGCACTGTAATTCAATATCTTTTTCATTTGTTTTAAAAGAATGGGGAGCCGATTATGCCTTTTATGGCTTTTATTATTAACCCTGGGACAACATATAGAGGTACAGGGAGACATTTCAAAGGCTGAACAGAACACATTTCTCCAAATACACATGAACTAAGGTAAGACAAGAGAATAAAAATACAGTATATGGTCTACAGGTTCAATAAACCTTAGTTAAATAAGTTATATATTAGCCAACATAACCAGTACAGATTATGAGAGGGACTGAGCTCGGCAGTTGACGCGTGGTCACGTGGTTGTTCAGTGTATGTTTTCACACACACCTTCCATAGCCCCTGAGATTTCCTCAGAATTTAGATACGTTTTTGGAAGCTTAATAGAAATAAACGGCTTGTTTTTGGAGTTAACTCTGTTTGTAAACAAAATTTCTCATGAGTCTTAATGAAACTTCAGGAAAAACCATAAAAAGTTCCTCAACATATGATGATCCTAATAAAACTCTGGCATGAAAGGCGGTGAGCGACATGCATTCTTTCAGAGAATCCATGGCCTTTTTAAGTTTATTCTGCATCACTTCTGCATAGATGTTATAAAATGTGAGCTCGTCACATGGTGAACAACAATGGATATCTTTACTGTAGGTTTGTAATGTGTTCAATGTGTTTCCAGAGTGTTCAAGCAGCTGTGTGTCGGGTCTCATCTGCTATGTTCCCACGCACACACAAACAATTAAACAAGCAGTAAAAGCAGGCTTCCACACAGCTATCTGTTATTCTCTGTCATTCATCCACCAACATCATGACTGGGAGACTAGTTCTGCTGGGACTTCTGCTTATCTGTGTGGCTGCAGGTAAAGGAAAAAAGACACTTTGTCCTAAAACGGAAGGTTGTATACGGTAGATACATTTGACATTTAGTCTGAACTTTACTAGAAAAATTGAGTCACTTTTAACTGTTCGATGCAGCGTTTTTGGCAGTGATCAATGCAAATATCCACAACGTGCTCTATATTTATGTTGAGAAACTATGACATATGCTAAAATAAAAACAAGGCAGAAATAATTCATTTGAATCAGTGCGGTTGGTTCTGGACAGGTGCGCCACCAAGGGAGGGGCCAGGGGCAATGGCCCCCTCTAAAACACTGGTGCCCCCCCCATGGCCCAGACAGTTTTTGAGCCCTAAGCTTTTGCTTTGTGTGCATTTTTAATTTGTCCGAGCTATTTAGGATTAGTAAACATAAAACCAAAGATTCTCACTGAGCAACTAGGAATTTAAAATGTAAATAAAAAATTATTTAGAATTACAAATAAAACTTAAAATTGTGATAGTGCTAGAGTAATATTCTTGGAAATCATATTTATTTAATTTTAAGAGGTGTCTTCTCTATTTTTTGAAGATGAAGCAGACAATTCTGGATTCGTGAGAGAGGTGACAAGTTTTTTTTTTTTTAATCAAGCTAGAAAAAAAATCTCGACTGGTGGATCTTTAAATATCAGGTGTAACGTATAATTGTGTAAAACTTTTCCTGTTCTGGCAGCCTTCTTGTCCTGACAGGGAGATTGTGGCGTGTCCTCTGAACCTCGCTCCGGTGTGCGGCAGCGATGGAAACACTTACGCCAACGAGTGTACCCTCTGTGTCCGCAGACAGTGAGTCCACACAGCTGCACCACACTCAATATTTTCACACATCGTGCTCACTGTCACGTGCAATTAGACGCAACTGAAGGATGATTTTTTCGCCCCACGGTGGTGAAATAAATTAAAGCCAGATGTGTAGATACCGAGGTGTTCAATCCTGGTCCTCGAGGGTGACCATCCAGCAAGTTTTTGTTTTTCCTGTTCTAACACACCTGATTCAATGATTGAATTACTCGTTTGTCAAATCAGGGGTGTTGGAGCAGAGAAACGTAAAAAGAACCAGGGTTGGAGACCGCAGGGTTAGCCTGAGCAAAGCTAAGACTATAGAGGACTGCTGCCATCTAAAACAACTCTAATCTCAAACATTTAATAAAAGTTCTCTTAGGCCCTATTCTTATAAACCTTTACAGCAGACACTTCTATAATAAACACCTGTTTAGGTAAAAGAGCAGCTGTTATTTTTAGGTGTAATTGTTCCCAAACTTTTTAGCTTTTGAGCCACAAACAGTAGCAGGTGATAAACAATGGTATCAGGTCAAATAAACAAGGGTAACAATATTCATTATGCTCATTTAATCCATATTTAAATATGCTAACCTCGTATTTTTGTAACAACTCAAGCTTTTTGGGTCTGGGGACCCCTTACAGGGGCAAGAAAATTCCAGGGACCCCCTCAGAAACCCCATGCTGTCATTTCAACCCCTAAATGCCATGGGAAAATATATATTTTTTATTTAGTTAATTATGTTTGTTTTATTGGTTCATTGTTCTCAATGCAATTTATAAAAATAAAAACAACATTAACAATTTAGTGACGTTTTTTGAGGACAGCCAAGATACCTCTCGCGGACCCCTGGGGGCCCTGGGATCCCATTTTGTGAACCTCTGAACTAAGGGAAAGAAATGTGAAGATGTTTGTGGTTGTTTTAAAATTTAAATTACTTCTGCAAATCCTTTCAAGACCCCACCTTGATGTTTCAGTGGGGTCCCAACCCTAACTTTGGGAATCACTGGCCTATCCAGACGGATTATTATAATATTTCATTCAAAATAGCCAATAAATTTAAACTAATATAGGTGTAAAGATAGATAGATAGATGATAGATAGATAGATAGATAGATAGATAGATAGATAGATAGATAGATAGATAGATAGATAGATAG